CTGCAGAGCTCTTTCAGGTTGCTGCACGTGCTGTTGTAGGCTGTTACTGCTTCGTCTACTGCAGCCTCTACACGGGCAGAAACTTCGGGGGCACAGCTTTGCGCCAGCGGTTTTGAGGCTTCGCGCAGCTCGGTCACTAGTGTTTCGCGCGACACTAAATCGCCCGATAGGCCCTGGATCACAAAAAAATCTGCGTAAGAATATCTCAATAAATCTATGATTTATTGGCTAAAATCCACAAAAATCATCGAAACACTGTGTGTGTGTGTGTGTGTGTGAGAATTAAATTTAAAATCGTCTGCATCTGGACGTTGACGTCTGTTTATTTGAAATTCCTCCTTGGCATTCTATATTTAGTGTTTACATTTATTTGCTTAACGTCTTCGTCTAGTCCACACTTAAAATGGCGCAGGAAATACCATTATGGTAGCAGGAATCGATGTGTCAATGAACGGGAAATTATAATTAATTGAATTCAGTCGGGATTGTTGATAACCACTTCAAAAGTAGTTCAACTGCTGGACTAAATATTGCAATCGCGATCCCACTTTTGCTCATTTCACGGGAATCTAATTATACTGCTGACTAAATAATTAGCAAACCAAACAGCAGATTAGCATTATCAGCATTAAGTAAGGAACCTTCTTGCTGGCTTTGAATGTGTAATTGCAACATACCAGCCATACACTAAACGTGTTGAATTAGTTGATTTTACGCCACTAAATGGAAAAAAAGTTGGGGTTTTGCCAGTCGGTTTCACCGGGTCGATAGACTTTAATTGGCAGTTTTTCAAAGTTATCATGGAAGTGACTACACTAAATTATCAGGAACATGAACACTAAGGAACAGTTATAACCTGCCGGCAGGAAAACACTGGTTAATCCCTGATGTTGAGCAGGATTTTCATTGGAATAAAGTTAAGTGTGATGAAATGCCAAGTGCGGTGCAACTAATGGAAATGTTTAAAAAACATTGAAAAAATTTAATTTCCAAAAAAAAAAATTGGCCAGAAGAAACATTTAACTATTGCTTCTTGCGATGCGCTCAAAATGGAAAAACCCAAACTCTTTCTTGCATGAGAATCGATTTTTCGCCAAATCAATGCAAAAGAAAAAACGCGAAGCCTCACCGCACTATTTAAACACACGATCAAAAGTGCGGTGCGCTAACTGACTTTTTTCAAAAACTTCGAAAATAAACACCATTTTGGCAATGAAAATTGACAGAAAACTGGTGGCGAAACAGTTAAATCTTTAACAAAAATCCACGAAAATTCAGAGAATGAAAGAAATTTAGTTAGAAAACAGTCGACAAAGAAAAAAAATCAATCTCCCAAAAAGGATTTGCCATTTTCACTCTTTCTTCTTGCGATGCCTTCAAAACCTTAAAATCCAAAAATCCTACTTACAGACAAACCGATTTAGCGTCAAATACGATGCAAAAGAACAAAACGCAAACAAAACAGTTACCGCACTATTTAAACAGACGATCAAAAGTGCGGTGCGCTAACTGACTTTTTTCAAAAACTTCGAAAATAAACACCATTTTGGCAATCAAAATTTACAGAAAACTGGTGGGGAAACAGCGAACGAAACAGTTAAATCTTTAACAAAAATCCACGAAATTTCAGAGAATGAAAGAAATTTAGTTAGAAAACAGTCGACAAAGAAAAAAATCAATCTCCCAAAAAAGATTTGCCATTTTCACTCTTGATGCCTTCAAAACTTTAAAACCCAAACTCTTTCTTACATGAGAATCGATTTGTCGGATAATCCATGCAAAAGAAAAAACGCGAAGCGTCACCGCACTATTTAAACAGACGATCAAAAGTGCGATGCGCTAACTGAATTTTTTCAAAAACTTTGAAAATAAACACCATTTTAGCATTCAAAAATTACAGAAAACTGGTGGGGAAACAGCGAACGAAACAGTTAAATATTTAACAAAAATCCACGAAAATTCACAGAATGAGAGAAATTTAGTTAGAAAACAGTCGACAAAGAAAAAAATCAATCCCCCAAAAAAGATTTGCCATTTTCAGTCTTGATGCCTTCAAAACTTTAAAACCCAAACTCTTTCTTACATGAGAATCGATTTTTCGCCAAATTAATGCAAAAGAAAAAACGCGAACAGTCACCGCACTATTTAAACAAACGATCAAAAGTGCGGTGCACCAACTGAATTATTTCAAAAACTTCGAAAATAAACACCATTTTAGCAATCAAAATTTTCAGAAAACTGGTAGGGAAACAGCGAACGAAACAGTTAAATCTTTAACAAAAATCCACGAAAATTCACAGAATGAGAGAAATTTAGTTAGAAAACAGTCGACAAAGGAAAACAATCAATCTCCCAAAAAAGATTTACCAATTTCACTCTTGCTTCTTGCGATGCCTTCAAAACCTTAAAATCCAAAAATATTACTTACAGACGAGTCGATTTAACGCCAAATCCGATGCAAAAGAACAAAACGCGAACAGTCACCGCACTATTTAAACAAACGATCCTTTTTGTTGCTAATTTAAACGGTTTCATTCAAATTAAATGAAATGATAACGTTACTTTGGACACCCGAGGTTCCACTCACCGAAGCATTCGAATTAACACTGACTGAAATTCAAAATTCTATTCCTGCAGTGCGCGCGTTTACACTACGGGCCTGCTGAGATAGTTAAACGCTCATTAAAACTGTTAATTATTGCATTGTAGAGCATAAAACGTAACGATCAACAGGAAGCATTTCTGTTCATACAATACGGACTGGTGATTTTTCCTTAAAAAACTTTAGACTGTTTAAAAAAATCGACTTACCTCTAGTCTTTCGGTAGCTTTCCGCAGTCGTTCATAGTCAACTGTTCCTTGAACGGTCAAAAGTTCGATCATAAAGTCAGCTTCCTGCACACTCTGCTGCACCATTTCCAGCTGCCGCTCGAACCGCTGCCATAGAGTCAGCCTGCTGCGCAACAGAGCCAGGATTTTGCCGCAGCGCTTTTCCAGAGCCGCGTGGTCGTCTTGGAGCTGCGAAATTTCCTTCTCCACCTTGATTGGGGACACTGTGGCTCGCAACCGCATCGGGAGAGTGTGGAGAAGTTGTCTGGAACTCATCAAATCCTGCCACAGAGTGACTAGTTCTTCTCCTACTTCATAGCATTCGCTGATGGCCTTCTCTATGGAGTCGCTGCCGAGCTTTTCCGTGCCTTCGCACTGATCCAGAGTCTTGTCCAGCTCTGAGTGCTTCCTGCGCACTCTGCTCAGGCCCGTCTGGATGGCTTGCAGGCGCTCCCTCACCAAAATGCCGCCCTCCAGTTCTTCGGACACCAAGTTGTCCAATCGTTTGGACAGCGCAAGCAAACTGCCCACTTTGTCCGACTCTGTAGCCGACAGCAGTCCCAGCTTGCCCAGCTCGTTCTGAATGGTCTCCAGCCTCTCGGACATGATCTGCAGCCGCTCGATGTAGAGACTGAGCTCTTCTTCGGTTTTGATCACGCCGCCCAGACTGTCGATGTCCTGCTTCAGCTCTTGCAGCTCCTGCTCCAGAAGCGCCAGCTTCTGATTCACTGGCACATCCGGAGCGGATAGAGTGCTCATTATTGAGCAGTGCATTTCGTTGATTCGGTCGGTGACTTTCGCCCACTGGCTTTGCAGTTCCGAGTGGAACTTCCTCTGGAGCATCTCGTCGGAGATCGGCACTATTTGGAACGACTTCTCCAGGGATCTGGTGGCGTTTTGGCGGGCGGTGTTGTTCACCTCGTGCTTAGCTTTCAGCTCCTGCAACCAGCCGAACATGTGGGTTTATGGCGGAGAACGACAGTTTTAGGACTTACCCAGAATTGTCTGATGTGTCCTCTAGGGCCAGAAGGAATTTCGATCTTCCTCAGCTGAACCTGCGCATCTTTGAGCCAGGCCTCCACTTTGTCGCTGAGGGTGTTGTAGCTGGTCCACGACTCCCCAAACGACAGTAAGCGAGTGAGGTTGCGTTGCACATCCCCCTGCAGTTTGGTGATGATTTCCAGAGACTCGGTGTAGGCCTGCTCCAGGCCGGAGCAAACCACCAGCTCTTGCAGCTTCTGAGCCACTTCATTGAGGTGAATGAGCTTGGCATGATGGTGGTCGATGTCAGCAGCTAAAGAGTGGTGCAGGTCGATGTAGCGGTCGTAGTCGGAGGATGTGACGCTGTTCAAGTCGGGGATTCGCTGCTGCGCCACCTGCAGCCAGCGCATCTCCTCTCGCGTGCCCTGCTCCAGAACCGTCCACCTGGAAGCGGCTAGCGACATGATCTGGAACCTCCCAGTGGACTTATCCAGGATCACCCGGGCGCGCTCATAGAGGTCTTGATGGAGCTGCGAGTGGCTGGAGCGCGTTTCCGAATCGAGGTTCTCCTCCAAGGACTCCAGGATGGCTCTGCAGTGGCTGAGATTGACGAAGAACTTGCGGTGGTTTTGCATCTCGTCCTCCAGATGCTCGAGGTTCCTCACTGATACTGGGCTCTCCACTAGGGCCTCGGCGATCTCAATAATCTGCCCAAACTCTTTGAGGGTCTGCTCGTAGTCGTCGGCCAGCGAAAGGAACTGCAGGGATTTTTCCCTTTCGAAGGAAATCTGCTGCTCCATCTGCTTGATTTGGTCGTGGTTGCTGTAGACCTCCGCAGGCACTTGCCTACCCGGGAAGTCCCGCAGCAAAGACCTGGCGGTGGCGATTAAGTGAACTGACTTGACCATGTTGGTGCGGTTCTCATTCTCCATGTCATCCAGCTCATTGAGCTTGGTTTGAGGGGCGTGGTCGCACTCTTTAAGATCGCTCAGCTGGCGCCTGAGTCTTCCAACTGTCCTGGTGACTGTTTCAATGTCAGCCACAAACTCTTCCCATCGCTTCAAGTCGCCTGACGCCAACTGCTCATTTTCCTCAGTCACAGCTTCAATGATCCTCACTTGCTGCTGCAAGGAGTCGATGTAGCTGCGCATCCTGCTCCGGTCCTCCTCACTATACAGCTTATCAGCTTCCTGAAGCACGTACTGAAGCTCGTCCACTTTGTCCTCGATGTTCACAATCTCCTGCTTCAATTCGTCGAACTCTTCCACTCGCGCCTTCGAAGGTCCTTCGGACGTTTGCAGCCTGTTCAAGTAGATGCGGTACTCGATGGTTTCCAGCCAAGTGGTGATGGTTTCCACCGTGGTGATGACGCTTTGCTGGATCATGTTAACGTCGGCTCTTTGCACAGCCTCCTTCAGGCTGCTGATGTTCTCCTCAACGTTGATCTTCCGCTGTTCGACGCTCTCATCCACAATGATCTCGTTCAGAGTGGCAAGGTAAAGCACGCTGCTCAGATGCGTGGTTTTCTGGGCGTTTTGCAGGTTCCTCATTCGCTCCAACGTCTGGGCTTGGGTCCATCTGATGTCCACCTCACTGAAGGTGGCCGGGCCTCTTTCAGCTGTACGTGTAGAGGCGGGCCTCCAGGAGCCGACCGCATAGTCGGGCGGTGATAGGGGAGAGTCGGAGACTGGCGTCAGAGGAGTTTCGGTGATTATTCGCGGGCCCTCGATTTCTTCGATTGTCACCGGAGGTGCAAATCTTCCTTTCGTTCGGGCCTTTGCCACCGGCCTGGGCTTCAGTTGCTGCGTGGCTTCTGAGGCGATTGCTGGTAGATCTGCCAGTTTCGTTGGCTTGTCGTTGATGGTTATTTCGTCCGGGTTCACTGCAGGGCGGGTGGAGCTGCTCTGATGCTCTCGCTCCTTCACCAGGAAGTCCTGGGAGGTGAACTGGGGCTGGTGTGGCTCCGCCCCTGGAAACTCTGGCGCCTGATCCTTAAGCTCGGTTTCTGTCAGTATCGATTCAACGGTAAAAGTGGCGGTTTGGGGCTGGGCTGATCCAGCTGCATCCTCAGTAACAGTGAAGGTATCCTGGGCGATAATCTCCACCTCAGATGGGAACTTGCCCGGCCCTTGCAGCTCTACAGCAACTTCATAGTCGGTTGGTGGTTCCTCTGGGGCTGCAGCACTTGCCTCCTCCTGCAGCTCTTTCAACTGCCTGATCTTTGCCTGGTCGATGTCGGTCACCACTTTGGAGAACACCTCAGCTACTTGAGCGGTTTGACTGTCCGGCTGCAACTCCTCAGCCCAGTCCACAACATCACTAGTTAGTTCAATGGGTTGGTCCTGTGCAGTTTGCAGTGTGTTCGCTTGGTTGGCTCCTTCACAAAATAAGGAGTCACTGTCTTTAATCACCACATCAAACTTCGATTGAGCAGGAGCCTGCCCTCTATCTGCGCCAGCTGTTGCAGTTGGTTCTTCAGTGTCTCCAATAGGCGCACTTTCTTCCACAGATCGCTCAGGCGATGGAGAGCTTTGCTCAATCTGCGTGGTCAGCTCCCTGAATGATAGTCCCGACTTGGCCATGTCGGAAAAGAGGGCTTTATGTTGAGGCACCTCAACTCCTGAAGCTTGTCTGTGGAACACCGAAAACAGGTCTTTGCGCTCAGGCTCCTCCGGTTGGACACTGTGGGGCCTTTCATGCTTTTTCCTAGTTCGGCGCCTCTCCTCGCCCCTTTCGGAGTCCAAAAAGGTGACAGTTTGTTCTCCAATCTCGCCCCCGGCGACTGCGATTTCCACCTCGTAGTCGCCCGAAGAGTTTTCAGCTGCTGAATCAGTAGCTTCGCCAGTAGACTTGGGAGGTTCTGATACAGTAGCAGCTTCTGATGTATCACCCGGCACTAAAACAGTGGCATGCACGTGTACTTCGTATTCCTCACTAGTGCTCTTTGAGGGTGTGGGCTGGTCCCCTGGGCTCAGAACCACCACGGGGCTGGTCTGGGCTACGCTTTCTGATGTTGTGGCAACTTTCTCTGGCGAAGTTTGAGCGTTGTGGTCGATGGCAACTGGTTTGCTGGGAGTTTCCTCAATTTTCAGAGAATCTGGGGAGGTTTGCATTGATAGATCAGCAACTGATGGGGTTGCTTGCGTGGCAGCTTCCCCAGCAACATCCGGAGTAAGCGTCTGGACGTGCACTTCAGTGCTTTCCACTACAGTCTGGACGGCCGATTCGCTTCTGAGCGGCGTCTGATCCTCTGGAGTGAGCGTCTGGATGATTTCATCGGCAGTCGCCAGCTTCTCAGGGGAGAAGGTTTGGTTGGAGGAATCCGCAGTTTCCAACTTGGCCACTTCAACAGTTTCCTGCTTCGGAGACGTTTGGGTTTCACGGATTCCTACTTCTGTGAGCGCTTGCGTTGAAGAGTCCTCGACTTCTGGCTGCGCTGAAACTTGCACTTCTGCAGTTTCCGTCTTGTCGGGTTGGGTGGAAACTTCGGCTTTTTCAGTGAGAGGCTCAGGAGAGGTTTGCGCCTCGCTTTCCACCACTTCATGAGGCTGGGATGCTTGCTTGGGCTCCTCAGCCGGAGGAGTGGTCTGCGATAGGCCTTCCTGAGTGAGTACTGCTTCTATCACTTGAACAGTTTTCACTATTTGGGCAGTTATGGAGTGAGGAGATTCACTCGCCGGCCTGCTGGGGATGGCTTCTTCAACGACTTTAACTGTCCCGGGCTCAGACTGGGTGGACATGGTGTGGACCGAGTCGTTCGGTGAAACTATGGACTGTTCCAGAGCTTCAGCTAAGTCCAGCTGGGGCGCTGACTCCGGCTCGGTTGACTCCACTGGTTCTTCGCTGTAGGATTCGTCTTTTCCTTTGCGCTTTTTGCCTTTCGCTTTTTTCTTCGCTTTCTTGGAGGCGTCCTCAACAGCGGCCGCTTCAGCGAAATCGTCCTCCTGCTCCGATTCGCCGATAGGCGTGGTTTCGTAGACCGATTGAGGCATGTTGGACTCCTCAGAGTCTTTCACTTTGACGTGCTGCCCGCGCTTCTTCGTGCGCTTCCGCTTCTTCTTCAGGTCTGCCTCTGGAACACTTTCGTCTAACGTTTTGTCGGCTTCATATCCAGTGTCGCGGCTCGGCTCCGACTGCGCTTCTGCTTCGCTGGTGGTGTCTTTATCGGTTTGCTCCAATTCCTGCAGGGTCGGTTTAGGGGATTCTTCCGAAGGCGCAGAGTCGTCGGGAAGAACGATTTCCGTGGACTCTGCAAGAGATTCGTCTTTGCTTTCTGCATCTTCTGCCGCGCTCTCGCTGGACTTGTGCTTCTTTTTGCGCTTGCTGCCTCTGCCTCCGTGGTCGAGGTCACTTGGTGTCGGCTCCTCCTCATGGACGGCTTGGACCTGCAGAACTGGAGTGGTCACAGCTTCACTTGAGGACCTGGCCGATGGCTGAGGTGCTTCTAACTGGATTTCCTCTGGAGCAGTTTTCACATTAAGGTTTTTGGCAAATAATTCTTCGATTTCTTCACTAGCTGGGGATGCCTTGGGGGTCACCACTACTGCCTCTTCTAGCTCTAAGGCGACTTCGACTGTCTGTGGTGGTTTGGTGTCAGTTTGCAGGATCTGCAGGACTGGAGCTTCAACGTTTTGCCGTTCGGTTTGCAGAAAATCCGACACTTGAAGCGCAGCTTTGGGGGCTTCAGCCCGAGTCTCTTGAAGAGCGAGCGCGATGGTGAGATTCTCTGAGGGTTTCTGCACTGTGCTCACCTTGGTCAATTCGGTTTCTGGAAGGTGTTGAACTGTAGTGGATATTATGGTGTCTTCAGCAGCGAGAGCATCAGCTGGTTGTATGATGGTTGATGCCATTGGCTGCTGTTGCTCGGCAGAAGGGGAAGTGCTGGCAGGTTCAATAGTTGCTTCGGAAGGTATTTCTGTTGGCCGCTGTTCTCTTCTGATGAAGTCCTCCACTAAGGGGGACAGGTAGGAGTCGCATACTTGGGCAAAGGGAGGAGCCGATGGAGTGGGCTGGGTGGTGGAGGGCTCCGACAGGGCTGCACTAACTGCAGCTGCTGGTTTTTCCTCGCTGTGTGTTTGGAGAGGGTGTTCCATTGGTGATTCAGTGGGAGGTTCCGCTGCTGGCGGAACAGAGACACTTTCTTCAATTGCACACGGAGTTGGGGAAGGCTCGTCTTTCGGAGCTTTGCCCTTGGCCTGCTTCTTTTTACGTTCTGGTGCTTTTGCCTGGGCGGATGGCGGTGCTTCATCAAGTCTACTACTCTCTGGGGGAAAACTACCCGAAACTTTCTCTTTTTGGATAAAGTCGTCTACTTTTGTGATGGCCAACGAAGCGTGCTCGGGAATGAAAGGTTGCTCTGGCACGTACCTCGGGTCTGGCTGCTCTTTCCTTTGAGGGGGGCTGCCGTTGGGCTCTTTAGAGCAATCAACTGTGCCTTCGGGCACTACTGTGGTGGTCTTTTGAGTGAATGTCGGTTGCTCTGGGGGCGGCGGAGGTGGGCCGAACTGCTGCTCTTCCACCACCTTGCCGTCCTCGGTTCGGGTGACGTTAATGCTCACTCTCGGTATGCCCTCCTCGGTCACTTCGACCTCCTCCGGTTCCTCAATGACTTCTTCGGTCACATGCTCCTTGCCGTCGATTATGACGGTTCTTCTGATGATGCGGCGCGTTCGCTTGATGACTCTTCTGGTCACTTGCTGGACGACCGCCCGGACGCTCGAGCTGGACGAGTGCACTTGGCCGGCGTCCAGAGTGAGTTGCGCCTCATCGAACGGCACCAGGCGATGGTGCTCCTTGTCCAGTAGGGTGACGTCGCCTTGGCGCAGGTTGAGGCCCTCAAAGTGAGGAGGTTGGGCGTGTTCCACTGAGTAGTGGACGTGAGGCTCGGATTGGAACTCCTGCACATCCACCTGGCCTCCGGGAGTGCCAGACAGCACTTTGCCTGCATACTGCTGCGTGGTCACAGTTTCCCTCCTATCGCCGGTGGCCACTGAGGTGCTGCTCTGCTCACCTTCGAGGGTGATTTGCGAGAATGATTGGGCCACTGGAGGGCCACCGCCTTCAGTCACAGTGTGCAGGGTGGAAGAGTGGTGCTGCCGCACCGACTGCTCCTGCTTGACTATTTTGCGATGGCGCGTCTTCACGACGATATGCTTGGTTCCGTCGGCGTCTACAATCACTTCAGTGGTGGTCTGGTCGGGCTCCACCAGGATGGTTTCAAAGGGCTGGTTGGGCTGCGTGTTGGTGATGTTCAGCTCGGCAATGCGCGTCTCCGACTCTGGCCGCTTTCGATAGTTGGCCTCCACTAGAAGGTCGTCCGGCTCCTCTACGATCGGCTCTGGATCCGCCATTGGGCGGGTGGCGATCTCGATGATGTCCTGATCGCCCGAGCTGCGCTTCGATATGGTGAGAGTCTCGCGGGTGTGGGCGGGACAATCTTCGGGAAGTTGCGTCTGGTTCTGGGCATCTACCGGCTGGTGGTAAGTGGCTGGTTCCCTGTCGGACAAGCTGTGGCCTGTTTGCGTTTGAGTGTCTGCGACCGCTTGAGTGGCCTTTTCTGCAGTGATGAGCTCCTGCTTGGGCTCCTCAATGGGCATAGAGGTGGAGTCCAAGGTGGCCTCTAGGGAAAGATCTGGAGTGTGGATGGGGTGGAGCTGGTCCTCTTGGACTCGCTCCAGTTGCGCCTGCAGCAGCCTGATGCTGTCGACGATCAGGATCTTCTGTTCCCCGAAAGTGATCGTTAGAGTTCCCAGCTGCGCCAGCAGGCTGCTCACTAGTCCAGCCAAGTCTGGGTACTTGCGGAACTCGTCCAGCGCCTTGGTCAAGTCGGCCAAAGTTCTCTCCTTTTCGCCCAATTCGCTTGAAAGTCTCTGGAACTTCTTCACGTAGTCGTCAATCTCCGGCTTATTCGTGGGAAGCACAAACAGCTGAAGAGTCGCACTGGTCGACCTGATCCAGACCTCGATTTGCTCGAGCACTAGTTGGTAGTGCAGCAGCTGCTGTTGTTTCCTCGCCTGCACCGCCTGGGCGTTCTGAAACATCAACACTAGAGTTTCTATGTGGTTTCAAAAGAACGTGTTTTTAAAAACGAGTTTATTAAAGCGAGTACAGGATGAGAATGAATGTGAGCTTGGGTTGGCATGATAAGGAAAAGAATCTTATGAACTAAACAATAGACTATAAGATGCTGAAGAATTGCGTCTGGCTGAAATGCAGTCTTAGTGATAAGGCGACGGTAACTCTAGTGAAGCTTTCTTCTATGGGGCATCGTCCAAAAATAGCAGCTAAAAATACCCGGCTCCATCAAGCGGATGGCCGAGAAATATTTAATTTATCTTTGAAATCAATGAGGACCGTAGGTAAAACTGGAGAGTGCTTGATGTATAAATAGGTAGTTAGATTAATTTGCCTTGGGCTTTTGTGCCAACTCTGCGGTAATTTTGTGCGTTTGCTCGAGTTCGGCCAACAATTCGATCATTGAATCAGTCCAAACGTGAAAATCTGGTTCGTAGCTACCCAGATAGCATTTGATATTCTATGAATATCCCAAAAAATATACAGAACATTGCGGGAATATCCTGGGAATATACATAGGTGAACATTCCTCACATGAATGTTCGTGGAATATACATGCATGTATATTCATCAAAGTTCATAAAAGGTATGTACATATATGTACATATTGGATATATGTGCAGATGAACATGCCAGGTATGTACATATTGTGTATTTGTGCAGGTGAATATACCTAGTATGTTCAAAACAAATATTCCGATAATATACATGA